CTTTTTCGATCAGAAAAATATACCAGGGAGCCCCTTGGCCAAAGAAGTACAGATGATTCGTCAGCATCACTCGCATTTTTTCGACAAGTTCACTCTTGCCTCAGCATGCACCTATGCTCCGAATTGAGCAACATTTCACTGATGCATTCTATTCTCTTCTTTCTCCTTTACGGGCACTCTGTCGGACCACGGCTCACGTTGGTATTTGTTTTTGCAGAACGTCTTCAAGGAAATAATGATCCTTTTTAAAAGTTAAACGATTGTCTGTGCTAGCAAAACAAATCATGGGCAACACCAAGCGTCAATTTCAATGGTTACAGTAAATAACGTTTCTTAAAAGTAAATTTTGTCCAATGATTTTCGATTGATGAGATGAATATCACTGCTCCTGAAATTTTGAATGAAATTGCTGGCAATTTCGATATTTCTAGCCGATTATGCCACAGGCATCCACCAAAGTCACAAAATTCCCTTTACCCATGCAAATAAGGTAGATGATAGACGCAGTTATATACTCTTGATATTGATGCTCACTGATCAATAAAGTAGTAACAATGAAAGTAATTAATTTTTTTTTGTGGATTATAATCGGAATATTACATTATTATTTTCATCATCGATAATAATTAATATTGCATTAATTTTCTAATTTGTATATCACCAAAACATTCTATTTTTGCATATTTTATATCAAATTAAAGTGTTTACATATTATTTATAATTTTTACTATATTTTATTTAATGATAATTTTTTAATAAATGTAATAATTTTTATCAATTTTCGCAAAAAATTGTTCGTATGTTTTAATTTCAATTATATATGCCTCGTGCTGAATGAATGGATATTCTCATGAAAATTTGAAGATTTAAATGAAATAAATCGCTTGGCAGGCAGATGACTGCTCACAGTAAAGAGAGAGGGAATTTATAAAAATATGGTCAGCCATTCGCTTTTTATCATTTTCCTATACAGTTTAGCCATATTTATATTGTTATGGAATAAATGTTCAATTGATATCGGATGTGTTGCAGAAGAGCACTGCAGAAGAATTTTAATTAGAAAATATCGACCAGTGTAGCTTCTAAATCTCAGTTCTATTTGTTATTTGTAAAATAACAATTTCATGCCGAACTTCGATTAACTTTCAATAAATCTGTCTTTTTATGCGTTCATAGTCAATGCTCTTGACGCTGCTGTCAGTGATCTAAAATATTTCTCGAAAAATAAGACTCGTAGCAATTTTCAATCATTCAGGGGACTACAAAATACATTATGCATGCACCAAGCCTTCGAATTATGAAAACTTACATAGTTTAATTTCATTGTTGTTTAGCTTTGTTGTTCTCATTTTAGAGCACCATTCTATCAATATTTCTTTCAGCTTTAATCATATATTTCAAAAATCTGGGTGATGCTAGTGGCTTATCAGTATTTCTATCACCAAATTATATCCTGACAGAACTAATAAGCCAGCTGAACCCTCTACGACCATTACTGTCTGAATAAACGTTTAGGACTCTAAAATATTCAATTGATCCTCGGTGGCAATAACCTTTGCACCAACCTTTGTGAATTTGAAAAATTTGAATAAAAATTGCACAAACTGCTCTATTTTGATGTGATATAGTCAAAATTTAAAAAATCGAAAACTTTTTGTTGAAATAAATTTTAAAAAAAATATTCGACTAATCCGATTGTAATGATAAAATTTTTTGATTGTAGCGTTGAAAAAAAAGCGATATGTTTATCAGTATTATTTCTCTGATTTTGTTCAATGGGTGCCATATTTGTAACTGCAGCTGTTCTTTATCTTGTTTACATGGGTAAGGCCAATTTTGCGATTCTTATGACTATATGAGTGCAAACTTATTAAAATTGGCAAACAACCAAAGTTTCTAGTAAATTTCATTCACAATTTCAGGAACAGTAATGATATTGATCTCAACAGAGCAACGTTAGTAAATAATTATTTTACAAATTAAAATGTCATATGCATCTTTTATTTCAATTTTATTTATTTAAATCAAAATAACATTTTTAACGTTGGTATTTACTAAAATTAACCGTTTAATATTTAACTCAGCTTTGTCATTTCCTTTAGAACAGAAATTCAGAAAGAATTACAGCTATCATTATATCGTTCTAAACAATAAGCTGATATCATTAATAAAGACTTGATAACAATTTGTTCTAAAGGTCCATTACCTGTTCCAAACTGCAATACCAGGAATGAGGGCGCTCGAGAACGTGGCATACTGTTCGCCCAAGAGCGCAAACGTCAATTATCCATGAATGCAGATATTAGTGAAGATAGTTTAATGGTTATTTTTATTAGATTTCGATAAAGCAATAAATAGAATCGTTTTTCGAAACAATTGTGCTGAAGAGTCAGTAGAATCAGTAGAATTTTTGAAAAACAGGCTTAATCCTGCTTAATCCTCCTTAATGGAACTCTGCTAGTGAGACTCCGAAATAAAAGCAAAAAAGCATTGATCTACTGCAATTCAATAAGAGAATTTAAAGCGAGGTAACAGTTCCACAATTTATATTCTTCATATTTCGTTGATCGCAATAGGACTGTTATAAGTTTTAAGTTTTAAGAGAAATATTTCGGATGTTCCTGAAATGAGAAAACATAGAAATAAAGAATTATTTTAAAAAATATGAAATTATCAAATTTAGAAATGGAACTGTGAGCTGGAAAAAACAGCTGCTCTATTTATCAAAAAATGTCGCATCGCAAAAATTCCGAGAACCAGTAGAACACTCGTTGGAAACGTTTATTATCATTTATTTAAGGAATCAAGTAAAATTATAGCATTTGAAATACAGTATATGAACAGGAAAATGTGTTTTATTGAGATTCTAGGCTACCCAATATTAGTTTGAAATTTTGGAAAGAGGCAATTATCAGTAGGAATTCCAGAAACGACTGCAAATTCACAGAATTCTATGAGTTTTCTTCTTCCGATATTCAGCAAAGTACTCCATCCAATATTATATACGACTACATACTATGAAAGCGTTGGACTATATGATGTAAGTGATTAATGTAAATTAGCTTTATTTTCATAAAAGTGAAAAATTATAATAATGGGAAAGAAATCAAAATGTTTTAGGAGGAATGGCAATATGCCGCTGAAGTTGGTTGTTCACAAATTTTTTGTCGAATAGCCGATGGAGACAATAAAGGAATGCTTGTGAAACTCGCTGCTTGTTTTTATAAACTTCGGTTAGTCTTTTCATTAAGTCTCGTTAGAAGTGAGCAGAATTAAGTGGAGTTGAAGAGAAAATCGTCAGGAAAATTTATAAATGTATATATCGAATATTTAGCAATTTTATATAACTGCTATGCAATTTCTATCTACTAAAATATGTATATTTCATCTTATAACCATCGTTCGCCTTGACATAAATTTAGGTCGCCATTAGTTGGTTTCGCCGGTGAAAAATCGACCATTTCATCGACAACAACGACGGCACCAACAATCTTTGCGTCAACAGAATTGACAATAACGCCTTTTGCATTATCATTTACTGGTGAACAGCACTTTAACATAAACCAGCATTACCTATTTTGATAAATTCTAATTAATTGCTCATTCATATCAGCACTTAGAAAGATTTTTTCGAACCAATGTCTTTACCATTTTTCAAATTAATGAGGCTAAAAATATTTGCCAGATTTTTGTCCCTTAGAGAATCTTCGCTGAAAGGTATCCGTTTAATTAGCCTAGTTGAAAAATTCGGAACTTTATATCACTGATTATTTATTGGAGAAAGCTTTTAGAATGTTTGGATTCTGTAATTTCGACTAATACTAAAGATAAAATCATCAACCGATACAATTGGTTCCGAAAACTAATTAAATATGCCATCTCGGAAGCTGGTGGAATAATTTCTGACCAAACTGACGACTTTGGATTTGTTAATTCTTTAACATATTTATTGATTTATTTGCTACATTTGAATACAAAATTTGACTTAAATTTTGATTCTCTTGCAAAAACTATTCCAACTTTCAAGAAAACTTTCCAGTATCATAAACGACTGTAAGTTACCGTGGCTACACCAATTTAAAATTTTAAATGACAAATTTCCTTATAAAAATTAAGAAATGGAATTGCTTTTTGGAATTATCCGCAACGCAAAGTGCAAGACAATGCAATTTTACTCACTCGAAAGAACCTTCGCCTCTTGGCGAAAGTCGAAAAATTCTTTTGAGAAGCGATCGTCAAAAAATTTTTTGGGAAACCAGAAAATTATCGCCTAACGGTAAATTATTTTTTGCAATATTTGCAAGCCTCTATTTTAGCTTCATTCAATTCACACAAAATGAAGTAATTTAAAATTTCAGAATCATTAGTATTAGAAGCAGTTGATTCGTGGTGGAGCAGTGGGTCTTGGAGCAATCATTTCTCGTATTTCGAGCATTTATCGCCTCACGAATTGTCGGAAAATTATGATTTCTTCACTCAGGTTAATGTTAATACATAGGCAATGGGTAGTGGACGTAGTGGACTTAGATTAAATTTCTAAAAATGCATTTCATATAATCAGTAACTTTATGAGTAAAATACTTTTTAAAGTTGGTGAATATGGAAACAACTTACATTGGCTGCGGAATTGGATATTGCCCTGCGCACCACATTGGACTGAACATGCATGCAATCGTGTGTCAATATTTTCCAGGGTACGTTTGAGTTTGTTTTGATAAATTTATTAAATATAAAAAGTGAAATATATGAATTGCAAAATCTCTATAGAATTCAATGATCATGCAAGAAAGTGTTAAAATGATAAAATCGCACAAAAATTGAGATTAAAATGAGAAAATGAAATTTTATTTGGATCGATGAAATTCGAGTGAAACAAAAGTTGCTATTCAATCGTATTTCATTGATCATGGAAATTGCCTTGAATTGTCTCCGAATTGAAATTGCTTAATTTCATCTCTATTACAGGATTCAACGGAATTCAAGCAAATTTATAGAACTATGGAGAGTCTTGCGAACTTATGAAGAGCAAATCCGTAATGTAATTCAGGAGCACTCTTGAAGAAAACGAGATTTTTGTGAAATTTTTTAAATAAAAAAGGGATTTTAAAAGACTATAGTCTACAATGTAGTAAACTATCAAATATTTCTTTTTTGGTCTTCTACAAAGTTGTTTCAGTGGCGTCTTTTTGGAGTCGTCCAGACTCTACGTCCATCATACAAGTCTAATTTAACATAGTTTATCTGTTATTGTACATGCAATCCGGAATGTTAGAAAAAATGCATTCAATGATTACTTAAGATTCGAATATTTTTGGTTAAAATAGACCTTACGTCAAAACAGAATTTCCAACAATGATTTGCTCTGAATCGCTAAAGGGGGAAAAATAAAAATGAATGCGTGATAATTGATTAATGATTTTATTATTCGACTATTTTGGAAGCTAACTTATTGATATGTATACAGCTCTTTCTTGCTGATTAGACTTCCAAAGTCCGTATGTGAATAGGAAGTTTCGAAGATGTATAGCACCAACCATTATAGTGTACGACAACGACCACTCTTCTGGTGATATGGCTGCAAATGTTGAGAAATGTGCCCAAATAGACGATAATTTGTTTGGTCTTCTCGGTAGAGAAACTATAGTTCAACCACGAAATGATTTAAGAGGATAGAATAGACAGAAAAAAAGGGAGCAGATGATGAAGTTCTATGCGTGGCAGGATTAAACTTGCTGATAACATCCGCATTTCTACCAACTGGCTCGTTCGGCAAACCAATGAAGCGAGCCAGCAGTGGTGAGCAAAGAACAAGAAAGCGAATTAGAACTGCCTGTTCTAGGAATGAATAATATTATTTTCCGTTTAGAAAACTGATATTTTTTGATAATTTTGATAATTTTGAGAAAAGAAAATTTCTGATTTGTCGACCATATTTCTTAATATAATCGCATTTATAAGTACAATTTTATTTTTAAATGCAAATTTGCAAATTTTATTGCAAATCTGAAAAAATTCAAATCGCAATGATTATTTTTGCACAAAAATTCATTTTTGTTGTTAACTATCGTAATAAATATTCGAGAAAATTTTGGAAAATCATTTTGGAAAGCGGGAAAAATTAAAAATTCGAAAAATAACAAAGAGAAGGAGAAAATGTGAATAAATGAAATAAAATCGTCTATAATCCAATAAACGAGAAAAAAAGTCGATTTCAATTTTTCAAAAATTTCTATTTTTTAAATTCCAGTTTTTGTAATATTTTTGCCATTTCGCTAAATATTTTTAATTCTTTGTTTGGCGATTCAGAAGGAATTATTTCTGAAAATTCCTAAATTTTTAAAATGTTTAATTCTTATTTTATTTCTATTGCTTCATTAATCGACAAATTTTTTACTTAATCGAAATAAAATTTATGTGAAATTATTTAGGTTTTGGTTTCTTTTATACGGTGCAAAATTTTTTATCAAATTAGTTGTTGAACTATTGACGCTTTTACGAAGCATTTTTGATGTTTCGAATTGACAATTCGAATTCATAGGCAAACAGAATATTAAATAGAACTCGCTGGCAGGCGTGAAACCAAGATAGCACCATTATTTGAAAACATCAGCATATGAATGTTGAGGAAAAATTAAAGGAATGAAGGAAAGAAGCAAAAAAGGAAATGGTTTAATTCAATAATATTTAGTTGGATGATTTATTTTTTTCGCATTGTTTAAGAGAGAAATCAAGAAGAAATTCATGAAAATTTTCATTTTTTTCAACGCTCATGAATGCTCATGAATTATATTACGGATCTCTTCTTCATAAGTACGAAAGACATCCAATGGTTCCATAAATCTTTTCGAAATGTGTTGAACTCTGCAATAGAAATGCAACCAAACAATTTATCACAGACTTTTTTTTAAAAATCCTCACCATTACTGGTTAAACTCGCTCCACTGGTTTGTCGCATGAGCAATATGCCAGGGAATCCCTTGGCGATAGAAATACAGGTGACTCGCCAGCATCACCCCATTTTTTATATAGGTTTACTCCTGCGGGGGAATCGAACCTCAGCATCGACGAGCAACAATCCACTCAGCCATTCTACACCAATTTATAAGGAATTTATGGTTTGTTTCCTAATGAAATGGAATTGAAAAAGAACGTTTCGATGAAAGGAAATTGCCGATTCATCAAAGATATGCTTAAACAGTTAACGAGATTTAAAAACAATTTCAACGATCGATAAAATAATATTGATCAAAATCAATGATCAAAATCCATTTAAATCCATTTATTATCTTGTCAGGAGAACTCAGTGACCGAGTGGATGATGATCGTCACAGAAGGAAGATTTCGGTGCTGTTATAAAAAGAAATAAAAAGTTTAATGGTGCTGTTAAACCATCTATGCTTTCCTGTGCGTTCCACACTACCACACTATTAAACCACACTATTTTTTATTATTTTTTATATTTAATAAAATTATCTTGAAAAATTCGAATATACCGTGGATAATACTGGCACACTACTGTCTGCATCGGATTAAATCCAGCAGCATGCACGGGACAATATGAAATTCCACAGCCAATATAAGTTGGTTCCATATTTGTCAACTTAAAAAAATCCTTTCCTTATGAAGCTAATAATGCAAAATATATTTTCACAAATTTAATCTATGCTTTTTTCTAAATATATCGCATTTACCTGAATAAAAAAGTCGTCGACTTCTGAAAATTCATGGAGAGTTAAATCTTCAAAATCCGTAATATAATTATTCCAAGACCCACTCCTCCACCACGATTCAACTGCTTCGAGTATTAATGATCCTGAAATACTCTAATAGTTCGTGAATCTAAATAAAGTTGAAGCTGAAGTCGGTATAACTACCATTAAGTGATCTTTCGCTATTCCAAAAATTTTTGCGGCTTTCACCAAACAGTAAAGAATCTTTCAACGGAGCAAGTGAGCATTGTTTTGCCTGATGCGTCGCCGATTGTTCTAGGAAGCAACTCCACTCCTGAAAATTTTCGACTTTATTGGATTGCTTCTAATTTAATTGCAGTAATGGAGAAATGCCGAGATAAGTACCATAGACATTTTTACAATGAAGTTTGTTGTCGCTTAAAATTCCTATTTATGGCAGTTATATTTTTTAAAATTCTTCTAACGATTCTTGTAGAAATTTAAAAATTTATTTTGAAATATTATAAAAATAAAAAATCCAAATCCGTAATCTAATTTTATACTCAAAATTCAGCGTATTTATAAAAATTTACGAATCCAAAGTCGATAGTTTGGTTTGAAATTGTTCCACCAGCTTCCAAGATAGCATATTTAATTAATTTTCTGAACCAATTATATTGATTAGTGACTTTGTCTTTAATGCCAGTTGATATTACAGAATCAGAACAGTCTGCAAATTTTTTAGTTTTCTTATTTTGCTCAGCATAAATAACTAAACGATTCATTTTAATCGGGCCTATAGGTATATTACCAATTTTAATGAAAAAATCTCAGGAGCGATTACACCTTCCTTTTCCAAAATTTGAGATTACGAAATTAATAAAATAATAAAAATTGTAAATTTAAATTATTGCTTTTTAATCATAATGATTATTCAATTGAGTGCGAATGAGTATTTGACATAAGCCTCATGTTTCCTGCTTATATCTATATTTATCTATTTCCTGAACCAAGTATTAAATATTTTTATTATATTTACTACATTTAAGCAATGAGCCCTATAGCCCTATAGCTCATGGAAAGGTTTTATTACATTGGGAAGGCTTATTCTGTTGGTAACTATATTTTTAACTCTTTCCGTCGACTTTTTCTTTCTTTTTCAACAAGACTGCTCGCGAAGAAACGGCTTGCACATATTTTTAAAGGCTATTCCTTTCGAATTTCTTCCAGCGTTCTATAAACTCCGACTATATTTCATTTTTCATTTTTTTCATCAACCATGCTCAGATCATATTGTTTTACGTGCGAAAAAATCCTTATTAAAATCCTGCAGAAAATACAAGTGGGGATGGAAGATGGCGACTTGATCAATATCGTTCCGAAGATATTTTCATTTGGGCATTTTGGCTTATTTTTAGCATATTGAATGGCCGTTTCTCTCTGAAGAATAAGTGACCATTTAAAATTTTTTGTAATTCTTATGTGAATTTTGCCTCAGGCAATGCCTTAGGGTATGTAGGCCTATGAGTTTATAGGGTGAAATTTTTTGTCGGAAAACAATATTGAATGTCTGGTAGGTGAATGGAAAAATCACACAGAAAGGAATGATCAGCATAAAGGAAATCCATGGTACTCGAAATGTGGTCTTTTTATATCACATTCGATAGAAATGAATCAGGACGGTTGTGCTTCAAAATTTCTGTAAAATACCCTCGCCATTTAAAAATTTTTTTTTAACAATCATGAGATTTTCCTTGTTTAGCACCAATGAAAATTAATGATTAATGTTTAACGAAGTACTTAACTTAACAATTGGCAATGCAAAGGCAATAGTTTGCCAAATAAATGGTAAACTGAATTTCTAATTATAACCAATCCTCTTCGTCATAAAGGCTCAGAAAAGGAATATTAATGAAAATTGGCTAACTGGTAACTGGTAACTGATAAAACTCACCGCTGAATGGCAATATGAAAGGTGTTGTTGTTAAATCCGTTGATAGAGAGGTTATTGCCGATACCAACGTCGAATTTTGAACGGAAGCAACGGTAAATGGTAATCTAATGTTATATGCTTGAATGACAGAAAATTTTAAAACTCATGCGGTACTCAAGTCGATGGAACTTATATATTATCTTATTTTCACCATCTTAAATACTAAATGAATATTGAAAATGAAAATCGCTGGTCATGAAATTAGGAAAATTTTATATATTTTCTAAGATCAAAAACATTCGAAAATTTGCCAACAATATTTTTTCAATTATTGCTTAACGCAAGTTAGTCAAGAAATTTACCGAAGATTATAAAAGCAAGTAGTGAACTTCATTTTGAGGCCCACAATAAAGCAAATATTTATTGAACAACCAACTTCAGCGGCATACTTCCAATCTTTCTGAAATATTTTCCATTTCTCTTCCTGAATATATGCGAGGAACAAAATATTTTTCACGCCTGATATGATTAACTTACATTACTTAATCCAATGATTTCACGGTATTGGGTGTTATGTTGCAAATCTGTAAAAAATAAATAAACTCTCAATTTTATGGATTTAGAGAATAAAGTTTGTTGCTATCACTGAGTGAATCTTCCACTATCGAAATAAGTGAGAAATTTCACAAATCCTTTCAGATTATCCACAATATTAGATACCAAAGACGTTCTATTCTATTCTATTGACCAAATATTTTAATACTACATGTCTTTTTGTAATGATGAAGATAAGTATTCCAGGCGAGTGTTCCATTTCTTGGATTTGCTTTTATGCGGCACTGCTTAGCATATTGATAAGCAATCGTTTCCAAATTGCAATCCCATTTCTAAATGGAATTTAGCATATTTCATTATATTTCATAACTCTTCAATAATTCTCAAAATTATTGCTTTTGAAGAGGAATGATATTTAGAAAAGAAAAGTTATTAAATCTGTTTTGTCAATTTATTAAATGTGATTCAGTTTATTTGTTTTAAGGAAAATTTTCTCGTTTTAAAAATAACCATTAAATTATTTTCATTCATATCAGCATTCGCGGATAATTGGCGTTCGCGTTCTTCGGCGAGCAGAAAGCTGCGTAAATGCGCATTCAATTTACTCGTGCAATTTGGAATGGCTAATGGACCTTTGGAACAAATATTTATTGTAAATTAACTTACTTTGTACACAAATATCATAAATCGATACTTTTTTTTTAAAGCAAAATCTTCATAAAAATGATTTTTATTATAAATGCTAAACGATTGCCTATGTTAACAGAAACAATGAAGCATGGGTCATATATAATGTTAATTTCAATGGTTACGGCCGATATAGAATCCATATGTTACTTTGATTTGTAAAATGTGAGTATTAACTAACGATTTTCGGTTGACAAGAAAAGTATCACTGCTCCTGAAATTTCTAATAAAGTTGATAGCAATTTCGATATTTCTGGCCAAATATGGGCAAATATGGGCAAGTGACAAGCATCCAAGAAAACATAAAATCTTCCTTACCCATGTAAATAAGATAAATGGTAGACGCAATTATATAACCGAAACCCATTGATCAAAAAAAAAAAAGAATACTGATCAGTTTGTCTTTTTCTTGTGACATCATGGCATTATAATCGGATTACTTTAATAATATTACAGTACTACTATTATCATAAATAAAAATTTATGTTTAGTGAGTTTTCAAAATTATTTATCACAATAATACTATTGAAAATTTGATTTTCGCACATATTATTAAATAAAAAATTATAATGGTTGTAGAGAATTTATAATTCTTATAAATTTTCGCAAAAATCAACTTATATATAAATATATATAAATCAGTTATCAGTTTATACAATATGATGATATAAATTATATGGTGATATAATTATAGATATTATAGATAAAGATATTAGTGGTGATATAATTATAGATATTGTAGATAAAGATATTAGTGGTGATATAATTATAGATATTATAGATAAAGATATTAGTGGTGATATAATTATAGATATTGTAGATAAAGATATTAGTGGTGATATAATTATAGATATTATAGATAAAGATATTAGTGGTGATATAATTATAGATATTGTAGATAAAGATATTAGTGGTGATATAATTATAGATATTGTAGATAAAGATATTAGTGGTGATATAATTATAGATATTATAGATAAAGATATTAGTGGTGATATGATTATAGATATTAGCGAAATTGAGAATGGCCACTGAACTTACATCTCAGTAAAATGTTAAACAACATGGATAACGTAAAATTTTAATTATTGAAAATGTCATATTTATTTATTGAAAACCAGCCAAGCAGGGCGCAAACGCCATGTGCTTGTATTAACAACAGTTAAAATAACAAATAATAAGAATTAATAACAAATAATAAAATAATAATAAAAATAATAAAAAATAATAAAATTAAAATAAAATAAATAAAATAAAATAAATAATTTAAAGATGAAATAAAGAGGATATTGCAAAATAATAAAATATAGTACAAATCGAAATAACTATAATCGGATGGTAAAAATTGAGATTTGACACTTCCTGCATGATTTGAACTTTTTAAATGATATTATCTATTTTTTTTTTAAAGATAGCTAGGGATGACGCACAAGCTATGTCGTTCGGTAAATTATTCCAGAAATTAATATTACGAATAAAGAAATCATGGGTCCTTAGTTTGGTTTTACACATAGGTTTTAGCAATTTTAACCCATTAGTTCTTGTTGGATTTAAATTTAACCTAAAATTATAAAATTTTGAACAATCTAGTTTAGTTTAGCATAACCATACAGAATCTTATAAGTATAAATTAAATCTTATTTAATGCGACGAACTGGCAGGGAACCCAGGTTATATTGTAGAAACTTTCTTTTATAATTAAAATTGCAATTAGAAGAGAGGCGCCATATTTTTGGAGTCCTTCATATAGTCAGCTGGCTATTCTGTTAAGGTCCTCTTGCAGTAGGCTATTTGATCTACCATGAGAATACAAATTTTACAACCATCAGCATAAAGATAAATAATAGAATTTACCAATTGGTTACATTATTTATGTACAATAGAAAAAGCAATGGCGCAACACAGCTATCTTGGGGAACACCAGATTTAACAGGTTTTATGCGAGAGAGAGTATTGTTGGCGAGTACGGCTTGGTGACGGTCTTTTATTAATCTGATACCCAGTTATAAAGAGCTCCTGTAGTGCTATAATTGTTAACAGTGATCAATAATTTGCTATGGGAAACAATAATCAAAAGCTTTAGCCAACTAAGTACACAACTGATACTGTTTTACCACTGTCAATTGATACAGACCAATCGGAAAGATTTGGCAATATTTGTGAAGAAGTGGATTTTTTTGTACAAAAGCCATGCTGATAAGGAGATATGAAATTGGCATCAAGATAACCAATTTGTTGCAAATCGACCTTTCGAGTACCTTGCTACCAACGCATGTTAGGCTAATAGGTCTATGATTAGGTCCATGTTAGGCTAATAGGTTATGATTAGAAGGGTCACAGGTGCTTCCTTTTTTATGAATGGGAATTATATGAGAACTTCCAAATCTTAGGATTAAGGCCAGATTTCATAATGTCTTTATAAATTAAATAAAAATAATAAAAATATTTTAACGAATTTACTATAATATGATTTAATTACCCAAGTTTGAGGTTCGTAATGGAAAGCTAAATCTATACAGAAAGAAGATAGTGGAGCAGATTCCCAAAAGGAATTTTTATAAAGGTAGAATATTGGAAGTAAAATCGCCGTGCTCCAAACGAAAATTCCGTACTGCTATAAAAATCCTTTTTCTGTATAGGGCACATTGTAGACTACAATCTTTTAAAATCACTTTTTCCACTCTATTTAAGAAATTTCATGAAAATCTTAATCTATGTTTTTTCAAAAGTGCTCTTGAATTACTGATTTGTTCCTTATAAGTTCGCAAGATTCTCCATAGTTCCGTAAATTTGCTTGAATTCCGTTGAATCCTGTAATAGGATTGAGAAATTTCCTAAGAATTGTAACCAACTATTCCGATGTTCCGATTTAGGAAAGAGAAATAAAATTTTCGATTTGTCAACAATACTTAAGTGACTGCATGAGAAGTTCCATCTGGTCGGAGACAATTCAAGGCAATTTCTATGATCAGTGAAATAAGATAAGATCAATAAGTTTTGCTTCACTCGAATTTCATCAATCCAACTAAAATTTCATTTTTTTGTTTTAATATTAATCTCAATTTTTGTATGTCAGGTTTTGTCATTTTAATATTTTCTTATATAATCTTTGAATTCTATTAAGAGTTCGCATATTTCACTTTTTATAGATAAATTTAATAAATTTATTAAAATAAATTCGAAAATACCATGCAAAATAATGATGTACGATGGCCTACTTGTTATATATATATATATATATATATATATATAAATTATAATATACTGAGCAATATACAATTCTGTAGTAAATGTTATGAGTTATTTCCATATTTACCAACTTTAAAATATGCTTTGCTCATAGAGTTATAAGAAATCCATTTCCAAAAACTTAATCAATGTCCATTTTCCAGTTGCCTATGTATTTACCTGAATCATAATTTTCAAATAAATCACAAATCATAATCAAAATAAATAAATCGCAATTTTCCGATAATCCATGAGGCGAGGAATGTTCAAAATAGGAGAAATAATTACTCCAGGATCCACTGCTCCACCACTATTCAACTGCTTCTAATATTACTTTATTTTTCTCAGCAGGAATTATGGTTCTTTCGAATGAATCAAATTGCATTGCAGATATTTTTTATTTAAGTTTAATTAATTTGTGATCAGAAGATGCTTGCGACTCGCCTGTATTTCTATCGCTAAATAATTCCCTGAACAAAATTTATCCGGTCGAGCGAAGCGAGCTAAACCAACAAATGGTGAGGATTATTAGAAAAAAAGAAGAAAAAAAATGAAGGTGGTGGAATTGATGATCAATAATGAATCGTAAAAATTTTATATGATATTACGACTAATATTCATCTATACTTGTAAACTGCGGTAAATTTGTCATAAAATAAACATTTAAAAACTGAGGCTATGCCAAGCTCGCATTCTTTCTGAAGCAGAAAGCGATCATGAACGCTAGCTCAGTTGTAATCCTTTTTATCCTTTTTTCCTTCTTTTTATTTATTCCAAAGAGCTTTTAATAAAAAAATTTGATCTATTGATCTATAATTTGATCCAAGAAATTTCGCATTCACTACATGTTCTCCTTTTTTTGTTTTCTTTATTATTATTATTCATTATTAATCATTGTTGGTGAAAGTACATGGAATTGACTGGCTTATTTCTTTGTTCGACTTTTGTTTGGTTAGTGCGCTTAGATTTTCTCTGTTCGTTAGTACAATGAAATTTCTGAATCAAGGAATTGTCGCATTTGTAAAATAATTATAGCTTTGTATATCATCTGATTTCATAATGACTCCTGTCGGAGATGGAGATAATATGAGATCTTGAAAATCTCTAAATAACTTAAAAACGTTATCATTTATCATTTATCTCTTCAATAAGTCAATCCATTCTTATTTTATATGCACCAATTGTGAAGATAAATGGTGGTTAAATGCCTTTGATATATTCAATGCTTCAGTGTTAATAGATGAAATAAAATGTTATAACAATTATTAGAAAAAAAATCAAAAATGAAAAAATTATTCATTCCCTCCACGTAATAATTTCATTCAAATTTGCAAATTATAATTAATTTACGTTTATAATTGATATGAAAAAAATTTGGTTAAAAGAATTCGTAATATTTCAAATTTATTTGTGATAAATATATTCATCAAATCATTTTTCATCAAATGAATCAGTTATCATGTTATTAAATTAAAAAAATTTTTATCAATTTGATCATCAAATTTATGTATGAATGATTTTTTTCTCGTTTATTACTTATGATTTTTTTTTACTTGCCTTATCATTTATCATTTATTTCTTCACCTTTAAATTATTGTTTAGTTTATTTTCTCTTACCATGAATGCACCCTCTGCATTTTTATTTTTTCATTTATTTTATCTTATCATTTAATTTCGGTTTGTTTTTTAAATTTTATGGTTTGCTTGATTATTATTTGCAATACGAAAGTGTATCGAAGTATTTTTAAGTATAATGGAGATTCTAGATAAATCTGATGACGCTAATCATAACAATAATGATACTAATCAACAATAATAAATCTAATGAAAATCTAGAAAATTTGCAGATTATCAAAAAAATCTCTTTCTCTTGGTTACACATATGAGTAATGATGCCCATCTTTTTTGAACTATAAAGATTTCAATTTTCACTATCATTTCACATAAGAAGTGCAAAGAGTCACTGCAGTAACATTTCGACTTGAATTGGATTAGAGTTAGGAATAGGTAATAGGAAGCCTCGGCGAAAATTTCGCTATTTTGATGTTGTACCATATCATAGCGATTTTTTAATGGTGAAACAAAACTGGTACAAAAAATTTATATTTCCACTGGTCTTTCGTTGAATAAAATAAAATTTTTATAGTTGTTGCGAATATTGCAAAAAAGAGAAATCTCTTATAAAACATGTCTATATGCGATTTGTTGCTTTGGGCGTTATCCTTACATTTTTTTGCGGATACAGGCTGATTTTTTAATTAACGACTCATGAACTATACCGCTGATAAATCGCTATAATCTAGCTTGTTTTGGCAAAGTTCCATCGGAATAATTATCAATAACTATTATTATAAAAAATGTGTAAATATGACCGATTTTTTATCATTATATCAAAATTTATCCAATTTTTTTCGTTCATTTCCTTCAAGAGCCAAATAGAACAATAATTATAATAATACAATGCAATATTATTTAGCAAAAGATATAAAAAGAAAGATTTAAAATTCTTAATCGCAATAGACTAAGTATTAAAATGTTTGTGGGAAATAATGCCATAGATGATTCTATTTATTTTCGAAATAAATAAAAATAATGAGCCATTAGTGAGCAACTTATTCCAACAGTTTAAAAGTAATAGTTTATGCATGGAAAAATTAAGAATAGATTGTCCCATTCTTAAACCATTAACTCTAACACTATTCATGATTTAAAGAGAACTAATTCTCCAGCATAATGATAATGTGATATTGATATTGCAAGTGCACTTAATCAATATTTAACTAGTGTATTTGTTGAAGATAATACTCAGTCTTCTTGTTTTAACGTAAATGAATTTGTTATACTTCTCCTTATGAGGCTGAGGCAGTACTAGATGTTTATGATGCCTTAAATAGACTTAAGCCGTCCTTTTCAGCTGGTCCCGATAGTATTCCACAAATAATTTATAAAAATTGTTTAGTCTCTCCTGGCCTTCCCTATTTCTAATTTATAAGGATATTATGAAATCTGGCCTTAATGCCAAAATTTGAAAGTTGTCTCATATAATTCCCATTCATAAAAAAGGAAGCTCTTTTAATTATCGACCTATTAGCCTTGGTAGCTAGGTTCTGGAAAGCTTGGTTTGCAACAAGTTGCTTACTTATCTTGATCCAATAATTTAATATCCACCTATCAGCATTATCTGATTGGTTGATATCAATTGACAATGGAAAAGCATTTATATACTTAGATTTAGCCAAAACTTTTGAGATGCTTCCCATAGCATTGTTGATCACTCTTAATAGTTATGGCTTTACAAGGGATGTGTATAATTGGGTATCAGATTATATAAAAGATCGTTACCTGGCTGCATCTGTCAACGAAATTCTTTCTTGCAGGACATCTATTAAATCTGGCATTCCCCAAAGTAATTGTATTGCGTTATTGCTTTTTTAATTATATATTGATGATATCACCAAAGTGGTCTTAAACTCTACCATTTTTCTTTATGCTGATGATTGTAAATATATTATTCTCATGGTAGAAGCCTATAGGTAAGCCTACAGATAGCCTATCTCCACTGCAGAAGGATTTGAACAGAATAGCCGACTGGTTTTATACAAGCAAATTACCTTTTCTTTTCAAAACTGCAGTGGTATTCGTATCAATTCCAAAGGATTCGATCTTTCTAATCTTCTTAATAATGGCAATGATCAGAAGAGTCTCACATATTTCCGATCATGAACTATGGACTAATCATAAATGAAAATCTCGATTTCCACTCTCATTGCAGAACCATGATAAAGAATTCCTCAAAGATATTAAATTTTATTTTTCGTTCTTATTTTACGATATTTTATTTCATTTTATTAATTTTAAGAACAAAACTGAAGATTTCCTTATCAAAATATACAAAATGTTCGTTCGGCCACTTCTTGAATACAATGCTAAATGTGACTCCCCGAGATATCGTAAATCAAGTAAAAATAATTGAAGGACTCCAAAAAGATCTTATACGACGCCTTTTTCCTAACAGAAATTTTAATTATAAAAGAAAATTTCTGTAACATAACCTGGATTCTCTGCCAGTTCGTCGTATTAAATAAGATTTGATTTATACTTATAAGATTCTATATGGTTAAACTAATTTGTTCAAAATAATTTATAATTTATAAATAATTTATAAATAATTTATAATTTTAGGTTAAATTTAAATCCAACAAGAACTAACAGTCTAAAATTAGTCTAAAACCTACATGTAAAATTAAACTAAGGATTCATGACCTATTTATTCATACTATTAATTACTGGAGTACAGAAAGATATAGCTTGTGCATCATCCTTAGCTATTTTTTAAAAAAAATTAGATAATATCATTTATGATATTATTTAAAAAGTTGAAATAATGCAGGAAGTGTGAAATCTCGATTGTTTACCACTCTATTATACATTATACAATTACTTCAAATATTATATTATTATATTATTTTATATAATATTATTGTACTATATTATTTTGTAATTGTTGTGACTTTTTCGTTTAGACTTTCTTTTCGTTTGAACGGGGTTTGTAAGGCTGTTACACCACAATATAATAATAATTTATTTTTATTGAAAATAGGAACAATAGTTTAGGTAAAACCTAAATTAAAAAACTGTTTATACTGCAAAGAAAAGAAGAAAAAAAAAACCACTCCTACACAACGTTCTCAAAGGAAAAAAAGTGACCTTTTGATTTTTATAAGCAATGATTCATAGTTTCGAGAAAATTCTCGACATTCTCGACATTGTTGTGACCTTATTTGTTGTGACCTTTTTATTTTTATAAGCAATGATTCATAGTTTCGAGAAAATTCTCGACATTCCCGAGAGGGGAGAAAACTAGCAAGAGGAAGGAATTTGGGTTGATAACTTAAAACATTCTTAATGGTAGTTTTAAATTCCTTTTTGTTGTGTAGGTCTTCCCCTAATAAATTCATAGGGATAGCAACGGTTTCTTGATTTGAATTTCTACTACATTTTGGATATAAAAGAAATAAAATCGATTGACAATTTAATATAACAATAATTATCAACAGAATGAGTTCCACCATACTAGTTCCACCAATATTCATGCGCCAATGTACGGCAAATTCTTTCGTTTAGACTTTCTTTTCGTTTGAACGGGGTTTGTAAGGCTGTTACACCACAATATAATAATAATTTATTTTTATTGAAAATAGGAACAATAGTTTAGGTAAAACCTAAATTAAAAAACTGTTTATACTGCAAAGAAAAGAAGAAAAAAAAAACCACTCCTACACAACGTTCTCAAAGGAAAAAAAGTGACCTTTTGATTTTTATAAGCAATGATTCATAGTTTCGAGAAAATTCTCGACATTCTCGACATTGTTGTGACCTTATTTGTTGTGACCTTTTTATTTTTATAAGCAATGATTCATAGTTTCGAGAAAATTCTCGACATTCCCGAGAGGGGAGAAAACTAGCAAGAGGAAGGAATTTGGGTTGATAACTTAAAACATTCTTAATGGTAGTTTTAAATTCCTTTTTGTTGTGTAGGTCTTCCCCTAATAAATTCATAGGGATAGCAACGGTTTCTTGATTTGAATTTCTACTACATTTTGGATATAAAAGAAATAAAATCGATTGACAATTTAATATAACAATAATTATCAACAGAATGAGTTCCACCATACTAGTTCCACCAATATTCATGCGCCAATGTACGGCAAATTCTGAAAGTTCGTTTTGTATCAGTAACGTAGCTTTGCCAATCTCATCATCCAGCTGTTCTGCTAGCTCTTCTCCTTCTTGACTGATTTCTTGCCAGATAGTTTCCATGTTTTGTTGATGAGATACTGGATTGATGGGTTTTTGTTTGTCAGCCAATATTTCTATTTCCGCATTAATTCCTTCAATTTCAAATTTGCTTATTATACCAACTTTGAACTCAACCGTGTTCTGTGTGATGTTTCTCGAATTACAAGGAGCAACTAATAAATTGTCATCCACCCTTTTAGCGATGTTGAATGATATTCCAGACCATTTACAGGTTTTTGTTGCTAATGTTCTTGTCGACATTATGGATAGAACTGTTACTAACATTATACATAACATTGTGAAACTTGACTTACTCCTAAGGCTTATTGGATTTCGTTGTTGTCTTGCCAAACTTCTAGTTCGTAGCGCTATTGGTTCTTCATTTTCGATGGGTTCTTCGTCCTTTGCATTCGTTAATTCAGTTGCAGAATCTTCGGGTTGATCTTCTTGTTCCACTTCCAGAGGGTATAACATATTAACTGGTCTATTGAGAAGTTTCCCAAAAGGCAATTCTATCTGAACACTTCTGACATTTCCATCGCTACTCTTATTAAGTTTATTTATCTTTGCTAGTTTCCACATTCAGCGAGGAATATGTGGTTCATTTACTAGTACGACTTCTCCTAGGGAAGGTGGTCGTATTATTGCGCTTTTAGGAGATTAGTGTTTTATTTTTGTACGTTCCCTTAAACTATTTAAGTACTTATCTTTCCAAATTTTCCAAAATACATCAAGAGTTTCAAGAGTTTTTGACCAATATTTAATAAGCTTATCATAAGTGGTTAACTCATGTGGAATAAATTCATCTTCGTCACTGTCATTACTCATTGGTATATTTAGTAAGGCACTGGGGGAAATAAAATCCACAGGACGTAAAATTATTGAATCATTAAAATTCACGTAAGTTAATGGGCGAGTATTCATAATACTCTCTATTTCGATCGCTAGGGTAACTAAATCCTTTTCCTTTAATAATTTTCTACCAACGGCTTTTCTAAAGGCACTTTTCGTTATACCGACTACTCTTTCATAAATTCCTCCCCTCCACGATGCCTTCGGCGTTATATACTTCCATATTATTCCTTTGCTTATAAGGAAATTACTTAATTGTGATTCTTGTCTTGATCGTTCGATAGACTAGGTGGAATTGGCTAGCATTGTCTGATAAAATTAGTTCAGGACAGCCTCGTCGTGCTATGAATCTTCTTAACGCAGTAAGACAATTTTCTGCAGATAAATCATCTTCTAATTCTAAATGCACTGCAAGAGTTGTGAAACATGTAAATAATGCTACCCACCTTTTTGCCATTCCAACTTCCGTTTTAGCAGTGACAGGGCCTAAACAGGCTTTATAACAAATATCAATTAACCAAATTGCCAAATGACCTCTCTGCATATAAAGAATGCTTAAAAAGTTTCCGTAGCGCCATTCATAATTACTTTTCAAATAAAGAAGAACAACTTTTAAATATTGATAGAAATTCTTTCTGGACCTATATCAAAAAAAAAATTTGCAAATCCACGTAAACAATTAATTCTGCAACATAATGATAATATGATCACCTCTGATATTGATATTGCAAATGTATTTATTTTTCTAGTGTGTTTATTGAAGATAATACTCATACTTCCTGTTTTAACGTAAATCGAATTTGTTGCACTTCTCTCTGCGAGATTGAAATAACACTACTGGATGTTTATGATGCCTTAAATAGACTTAAGCCGTCCATTTGAGCTGGTCCCGATAACATTCCACAAATAATTTATAAAAAATGCGCAGTCTCTCTGAGTCTTCCCCTATTTTTAATTTATAAAGATATTATGAAGTCTGGCCTTAATCCCAAAATTTGGAAATTGTCCCATATAGTTCCCATTCATAAAAAAGGAAGCACCTATGACGCTTCTAATTATAGACCTATTAGCCTAACATGTGTTGGTAGCAAGGTACTTGAAAGGTTGATTTGCAACAAATTGCTTATTTATCTTGATGCCAATAATTTTATATCTTCTTATCAACATGGCTTTTGTACAAAAAAATCTACTTCTTCACAAATATTGGCAAATCTCTCTGATTGGTCAGCATCAATTGACAATGGAAAAATAGTATCAGTTGTGTATCTAGATTTGGCTAAGGCTTTTGATACTGTTTCCCATAGCAAATTATTGGTCACTCTTAATAGTTATGGCATAACAGGGGACCTCTATAACTGGGTTTCAGATTACATAAAAGATCGTTACCAGGCTGTATATGTTAACAACACTCTTTCTGACATGACACCTGTTAAATCAGGCGTTCCCCAAGGCAG